ATTCAATAAAATTTCAACAGAGTTCTTTGTGAAAATTGGCCAGATGACTCTAAAATGTCCATAGAAAGCAAGAGGCTCGGGATTGACGCCTGTAGCTCAAGCGGCTAAGACGCCAGCCACATACACCGGAGCTGGCAGGTTCCAATCCAGCCTGGGCCTGCCAAACAACAATGACAACTACAACCAAAAAATAGCCAGGTGTTGTGGCGGACGCCTGTAGTCCCAGCTACTTGGGAGGCTGAGGCAAGAGAATTGCCTAAGCCCAGGAGTTGGAGGTTGCTGTGAGCTGTGACGCCACAGCACTCTACTCAGGGCAACAGCTTGAGGCTCTGTCTCAAAAAAAAAAAAAAAAAAAAAAAGGGTGGTACCTGTGGCTCAAAAGTGTAGGGTACCAGTCCTGTATGCTAGAGGTGGCAGGTTCAAACGCAGACCCAGCCAAAAAACTGCAAAAAAAGAAAAAGCAAGAGGCTCAGCTTAAGGCAGACCATCTTGAAGAAGAGTGAACGGGAGGGTCTGCCCCACCTAATAGCAGGACATGTAAAGCTAAAGTAATTTAGATATGGTGGCATTAATGCAAGAACAGAAAAAAAAAGACACATGAAACAGAACAGAGTCCAGCGACAGACCTGTATGACGCGTGACAGGCGTGATGTTGTAGCTCAGTGAGGAAGGCACATAATTCAAAAAATAGTGTTGGGAAAACTGTTCATCCCTATGGAAAAATTTGTGGAGCCCCATCTCTTACAAATGAAGAAAAATGTATTCTAGGTATCAAGATGCAAAGTGAAAACTTAAAAACCTTCAGAACAGAATCAAGGTTAGGTCTGTGGCCACACCATCTTGAACAAGCCTGATCTCGGAAGCTAAGCTGTGTCAGGCCTAGTTAATTCTCTGATGGAAGAAAATAAGTTACTATCTTGGGGATAAGTAAAGCTTTCTCAGCCTGAGCACACAATGGAGATGGTAAATGAAGAGATGGATATACTTGATTACATTAATTAAAGTGGGGGGGGTCATCAGAGGATACACACACAGACAGCTGTTCCATGTCCTCCCACTCGATTTGTGGCTGCTCAGTCTCTTTTTCTGGTCCCTCCTTGACTTTTGAACATAGGGAGGCCCAGGATCCACCTACATTCCTGCCACTTAAGCTGCTCCCCAAGTGCTAGGGACACCCATCCAGGCCCTTCCCTGGATGCCGCCCCGCCCGCCCACCTCCCGACTGCACAGCCTCCCTTGCACATCCACTTTGGGCCTCCCCGACCTGCACCGACCCCATCCCTGTCCTGCCCCTGCCCCTCCCACAGCCTCTCCATCTCCCCTTTCCTATATTTCCCCTTTCTCTCTCACCCTACATCCCACTGGCTCCAACTCTGGTGTGGTCCCATCCCTCCTTACCTGTCCTTTGCCACCAGGATCACCACTCGCCCCGGGGCCTGATCTCCCACCTCTGCCCACCTGCACTCAGCTCCATGCAGCAGCCAAGGCCATTGTCGACTATACCAGCAGCCCTGTGACTGACCCCTCAGTCCAGGCCAAGTCCCTGCTGCGTCATCTCAGTGTCCGAGTAGGGAGTGGTGTGTGATTACACGAGTAACACACACCTGCCGTGTAGCGGCTCTCTCCTCTTGGACATGAGCTCAAACAAGGTGGAGGGCAGACCTGCTGCGCTCCTAGGGCCACCTGATGCACTGTGGGCTCCAGTACACGCACATGTGCTGCCTCTGGGCTTCCAGATCACAGTCAGGTCAGATGGCTATGTAGCTGAGGACATGAGGTGAAGGAGTGGTGAGGAAGAGGGAAAGAGGGGCAAAGGGGAAAGTGAGGGGGACAGCTCCACAGGTAGAGGTGTAGTCAGGAAAAGCTTCCGTCTGCAAGGAGGGGTCTGGAAGGAAGGGCAGCACCAGCATGGAGAGACAAGGGCTGGGCTGGGGCTGCAGCAGGCAGAGGAGGGAAAGGCTGAACTGGCTGGAGGGGGGCCTGCGAGCGCCTGCTGAGCATCGCGCAACCCACTTCATAGGGAAGACACAAGCTCAGAGAGGCCATGTAACCTGTGCAAGGTCACACAGGGCAGAAGCAGGACTGAAACCCAAGCCTGCCACCTGAAGGGTTGCTTTTCTGGGAGCACCACTGTCTCGCATCTCCTAGGGGCGTCTGTTTTAGAGACACCATATCTAAAATGTCCAGAAACTTCTGACAGTTACTTTCTCTAACATAGGTGTGTATTAAAGCTCCTCAAGCTGTCACTATGGACTGATCAAAGTTGCTTTGCAGGGAGAGGCTCTTGGCTGTGGGTCTCTATTATTTTAACTAACATCTTGGCCGACCAGTTTGGAGCCTTTCATCATGTACTTTCCAGAGAGCCAAGAAGACCAATCAGTTTCCAACTCTGTCTACTCTCAAGGTCGCTCTGCTTTCCTGAAAGGTTAATTGCATCAAAAGGTTTCAGAAGACATTGCACTTCCTCCACTCACAGAGAGCATGAGTCAAGAAAGCCTCCCCTCAGATCCCTGAGTGTTGAAAAAAAATTTTTTTAGCATAAGTTTCTATACTGTAGATAAACTAAGTCATGAAATCTGGAGTTAAAATGTTATTTAATATGGTTGGAACTATCCCACGTCTCCAGTGAACTCTTTAGAATAATGGCATGAGGCGTCTAGAGACGGTCAGAGTACAAATTAGTTCTGTGTTTTTCTTCACCAGACACCGTGCCTTCAACCAGGAAGGTCAGGCAGAGTAACTCGTGCAGGGAGAAAACATATGTATCTCTGGGGATGCTGCTGTTTACTAGCCCGTGTCCTTCCCAAATATAGCACAATTTCTGCTAATCATCCCCCCACTTACACCATGATGTACTTTGCCGGGTCTGATGCTCTTGACGAGGCAGACTGGGTTTGAGACATGTCAGCTTATTTTTAGAAAGCAGCATTTAAAACTAAATGCTTAATTTTATTGGTGGGGGGAGACTTGATGTGCTGGGGATGGTGAAGTTTTCTTGGTGGACAATTAAAATCAATTTCTCTGTTATGAATGCCAGGCATGGCAGGATGTCATCAATTTATATCCATAATGAGAATAAAACTTTACTCATTTAGATGAAATGAAAAATCCTTATTGAGTAAGATCTTTATTCGTAAAGCTTTTATTAGGTGGCCACGTAGAACAGTAAATACAACTGTATTAATTTCAAAGGTTTACTTTCACTTTACTGAGAGAAGTATTTTGCAAATATAGATTTTGCTTGGCTTTGCTGTTCTACGGGGCAGAATCATTTGGAAATAGCACTTTATTTTGCTTAGCGAAAATGATCACACCAAAATGCCTCGAAACAGTGATATTTTAGGAAAGTGAAATTTGCTGTTCATATTCTTAATGTCTAACAAATGCATTCTTTTTCTTTCTTTTTTTTTTTTTTTTTAGAGACAGAGTCTCACTATGTTGCCCTCAGTAGAGTGCTGAGGTGTCACAGCTCAGGCAACCTCCAACTCCTGGGCTTAGGCGATTCTTTTGCCTCACCCTCTCAAGTAGCTGGGACTATAGGTGCCTGCCACAATGCCCGGCTATTTTTTTTTTGCTGCAGTTTGGCCGGGTCTGGGTTTGAACCCTCCACCCTCAGTATATGGGGCTGGCGCCCTACTCAATGAGTCACAGGCACTGCCCAACAAATGCATTCTTTAGGGTAGTGAGTGCAGAAGCCTAAGTATGCCCAGAGGATAGACATGATGATCAGCCCTCCCTATTAATACTTTCAAGTCCTTACCCTGAAACTCCGATAAAATGAGACAAGAGGTTGGAATGCTCCACCTTGGAGGTGAAAGAGGGACATTTCCACCTGCAGGGGTGTGCAGAAAGCTCCCTGGGGTGGACCTGAGCAGAACCAGGAGGAAGGAGGGAGGTAGAGCTGCTTTGCAAGTATTTGGGTATCTTATTTTTTATGTGAATTATTCCCTGGGAAGGGACATTGATTTGTTGGGGAACTGGAAGGGCTCATAGCAGTACGTTTCTGGGGGGGGAGGGTAATTGGCTTTTGCAGTGGGAACAGAGGTGCTCTGTGTCACCTGGCTGTTCAGCCAGTGGGCTGTCAAGGTGGCAGGGAGCCAGGGAAAGTGGACACTACCCATTTTCCGGCACTTACTCAGCACCCCCTCTGTGGCTTATACTGTTCTGGCATCTGGGGCACAGTGAGGAGCACCCCTGACATGTCTCTGTGGTGCTGGCACTTAGTGCAACTCTTGGCTGAAGTCCACAAGGACAGGGGCTCATTTCCAAAATTCTTCCCTCCTACCAATACCATGGCAAGGCAGACCCTGAGGACACCATACCACTGGGATATGCTCTTGGCCTTGGAAGGCCATGAAGGGCCAAAGAGGCCCAGATGGCAGGTTGTTAGAGCCTTCAAGCTAAAGAAAAGCCCAACTCAGTCCTGGGGGGGACCCACTCCTGGGAGTTTTGCTCTGGGGAGGAGGGCCTTACACAGAGAGGGCCTGTGTCTGGCCTGTGTCCAGCCTGTGTCCGGCCTATGTACAGTGGAGAGGCCTGCTAGGGGTGGGGATCTCCCCAGCATGCTGAGAGCAGCAGCCCCAGAATAGAATGTGTGACACCACCAGCACCTGGACTTGGCAAGGAGAAAGGAGGTGGGGCTGGTGGGAGGAGTAGCAGCAGCAGCACCCAGGGTCCACCTCGCCCTCCATGTGGGGAGAAACCGGCTACTTTGAACCACACAAGCCCAGGGATAATCCAGGGAAGGTGCAATTGCAGCTGAGTGTAACTTAAAAAAATGACATTATTTGCACCCTGATCAAAATGGCTCAATTCATGGCTGTTACATAAACAGAGGCTCCTATGAGTCTTTAGTAAGATTTAAAAACAACATAAAATAAAATTAAACGTCGAGCATTTTAAAAACAGAGAGCATCTTAAACTCTCCACTCTGGTCGATGGCTGGTTGGACGCTCAGGTGACACTGTTAGGATGATGACCCAAGTGACGGTCTCACCTACCTGATCATCTGTCAGGATCTGGACATGGCGAGTACAGATGGCCCTGAACTCTTCTTTGGAGATGGTGTTGGTTTTTGTGGTGTCAAATTTATCAAACTCCTGGGTGATGGCATAGTAATGGGAAGTCACTGCTTTGTGGAGCCGAGCCAGGAGGTCTTTGGTGGCCATGTCCACGGGAGAGCTGAGTAGGGGGCCCTTGGGCATTTTCTCGGCCCACTCATCAGCTGTCTGGACAAAACAGAATGGAAAATTGACCCATTTAAGAAATAATAAATCAGTGCCTGATTGTAATTCCTGCAATTCCCAAAAGAAACTAATCCCTCTGCTCAGAGTGGTGGTTCACACTATGGACAGTTAGACTGACTTGTCCTTACCTCTCCCCGAGTCCCTGAGAGCAAGTTGTAAATATTGAATAGATCTGACTTCCTCAAGTCTAAATGCCTCCAATTATGACAGGAGTATTATCAGAAAATGGATGAAAGAGAAGATCAACAATCTTCAAGGATTAAGTCTTGCCACTCTGAAGGCACATATAATAAATAATATCTGAACATAAAAATACAAATTTGTATTTCTTGTTTTGTACATAAGCTGAAACATCCTTGCATATTTTCAGATCCCATTCTGATACTTTTGGTAAATCATGTTTTGGGTCTTTTTCCCTCAATTTTAAAGCATTATTTAGGTATTCACGATATTAATATTTTATCTTGTAAATATATATATTCTCAATAAAAACTTTGTTGCATTCTTAAAAAACAAAAAATAAATAAAAAAAATAAATCACCTCTTGGCTCTGAGCCTATCACCCAGGGTAAGATCCAGGGAGCCCCGGCTTATCAGAGAAGACAAATGAGGAGAGCAATGAGCCAAGGCAGCATATTCTGAGAGGTTCTGGGCCTCCTCCCAGGTCAGAGCTGGCTGAGCAAAGGCCTAGGCTTACCCCCTGTGAAGGGGTAAGACAGTTGGCCCAGGCAGGCAGGGCAGCACCCTGGCAGGTGGGGCTGCAGTGCTGAGCCAGGACCAGGAAGGGCACTTTTACCTATATCCATTTGCTCCTCTGTCTCTCTCTTGGTTTAACAAACTCTCAGCTTGTGCCTCCGCTGAGCGGTCAGGGAATCCCAGGAGTAGGTGTCTGGGCTGCTTTCACCTCAGGATGTCAGTTTAACTGACTCCCAGCAGTTAGAGATTGAAAGTGGGTTTGGGTAACTGTTATGATATTGTGCTAAATGTTTCCTGAAGTTTGAAACTTGGTGAGACCCACAGGCACTTAATTCTGGGCAGTGCAGTGGAATCCTCCAGGAGCAGCCCCACTCCCCCATGGTGGGCAACAGGCCCCAGGTCTGGGTTAGTGCCCTGCACTACTCCTTGGGCAGTGGAAGTCCCTCAGTTACAGGGACAGTCAGGGTTCCCTGGCGCTGTCCGTGGTGCTAGTGCGCTGTGCACCTTGGCCAGGGTTCAGGGACTTCCTACGGGGGGAGGGATTGACTGTAAGGATAGAAGGATAGCAGAAGGATTCTTTTTCCCTATGTGCTGGGAAGAGGCATGGTAGGCCAAGAGGCAAAGAGGAGGGCAGCCCACCTTCAGTGTCTGCTGATGCTCACCATGTTGAACAAAGGGGGCAGCAGGAAGAGCCAGGAGGGAAAAGTCACTGAGTGAGCATGCACTAGGATAACAGGAGGGGGCGCCGGGGAGGCTGAGCTCCACGCTAAAGTCAGGCGTGGGAGAGTGGGCACAGTGGGGTTCTGAGCCTCCTGCAAAGGACAAGGGGTAGGGGGAGGCAGGTGGGGACAGGATGCAGCCCTGACCATGAATCTACTTGCTGCAATTAGTAAAAGGCTGCAAAGCCAGTTCCTGAGGGTGAGGAAGGGGGACATGGCCCCCAGTGAGAATGCCAGGTGACAATGCAGGAAAGTGGTCCCTGTACCTGAGTGTATTCTGAGCTATGCCAGGCCTCCCCAGGCCTTCCTACAGCAGAACAGACTGCAACTGTGCAGTGGCTCTGCTACCCGCGCTCACCACGTGCCAGCGCTGTGCCAAGAGCTTTACCAGATTGTCATAGCTAGTCCCCCAGCTAGTATGAAAACTTGGCCATGCTTTCTGTTAAGCAACTCCATGGCAATGTATGTACATACATTACTGTTCTTCATGATGGGGGAGTCTGCATTATGCACAAAGTCGCTCGTACTCCATGAGATTGCATCAGACACAGGTAGCCTCTGGGGCTGCTCACCCTCAGAGATGTGAACACACAGACCAAAGCCCACCATGTCCTCTGCTACCCAAAGGCTGCGAGAAGCTATTTCCATTTATATCTACTTGGAACCACTTGCAAAGTACATGAATGCCTTTTTATTTCATTTTAGAAAATAAAAGTGATATTCCTGATGCATTTTTTGCATTTTTATAAGTCACATTGTTGAAAATGCACTCTCCAGAGCTAAGTGAAGGAGCATTTACCCAAAGCTCCCCAGCAATGGAGGCACCAAGAGAGCAGAGGAGTCTCCTCTGGATGTAGAA